CTGCCAGTTTTTCAGACCAGGCTATAACTAGATGTGATTTCTACATTGATTCATAAAGCGATGAACAGTACAACCCCATGCTAAACATAATGAAACTGCAATACATAAATGAAAAAAAAAACAGATTTTACCATCCACATGGTGTTTTTTATGTACACAATGCATGGAATAATGAAGTCATTGGCTATGTAGTGGGAAGGAATTCAGTGGTCTGACCAGCAAGTAGAGTAGTGTGACAAGTCGCTAATCCTTCTGTACTCCAAAGTCCTGTACTAATTCCACCAACGTCAGCTAAGAGGGGATTTCACAGCCTGCAGCAAAAACAAGCTGTTGTTTTCACTGCCTCGCCACAGACATCAGACATTCTTTAGAAAGACTTCTCAGCAAACATGAATGCTTGGATTGGCTAACTGCAGTCGTTTTTCCTGGAGGGGAATAATGGCCATTTGTTAAAAATAACCACTCTCGACAATAACTATTTTACTGTAGATCAGTTGCATGGGATTGTCAGGCAGACAGGAGATACAAGAGGCTTCAAAGTTACAGAAGTGAATGGTGGTGTCACCGTTCTGGCTATAGAGTGTGGCTGGGAGGGCAACAATCTTAAGGGTTGTAAAGGGTTATTACCTCCGTTAGCCATCAAATATAATGTAGTAGCATCTCTAATGTGCTTGCTGAAATGTTGGCTTGTTTCTTTCTCTGTAACCTTGTCACCCTGTCTTAAAAAGGAGAACTAGAACTTGCCAAGAAAACTTCATTCAATAGGGTGGCTACGCTGCCTTCTGGGGTCTTCTTGGAGTCCCAGCATAGCCATCCTATCGTGCGAACAATCTCAGCCAGGACTATGGTTGCATATTTGATAGAGCACTGTAGAAAAATAAAGCTGGGCAATAAAGTTTATTGAAAAACCCAAATTAAATTAGTTTTTAGAAATAAAAATTGCCAGTTGTCCAATGCAGGAATCTGAGGAAGGAAGCAGCAGCAGGCAAAAGGCAAAGTTTTTTGAAAAATATTTTGTAGGAGAAGTGCCAGGGGCGTATTTACCACAAGGCAAACAAGACATTTGCATAGGGCTGCATTTTTCGGGGGGGGGGCAGCAGCATTTTTCAGGGGGCAGTGCTGCCCCCTGAAAGAAGGGATGGAAGAAGGGACACACGCAGCATGGGGACCAGTTAGGATCTGAGAGAGGCTGTGGGCTGCTTGCTGGTGGATGCAGAGCCTGATTCTTGTTCCCGGGAATGTCTGGAGCTATGAAAGTGTCTGTCTTCTCTCGTCGGGTGGGGGGGGGGGTTGCCAGTGTGATGGATATGGTAAAATGCATATTTGGTTTCCTGTTGAATATATACATTTTTACTATACATATCTACTTTTATACTTTTTATATTTCTAAATGTTTTTTGCATGAATATATATATATATATATTGTGTGTATATCTTTTGCCTGCTGGGCTTTGTGGTACTTTAAGAAATCCTTGCTCAAGAAATGTCTGCTCGGCAACCCCTCCCATCGAGTGAACTTGAGAACAGAGGAATATTTCTTTTTAGAGATAAGACCTCGGAGGAGATCACGCCTATATTCTGAGGAAGATTGTTTTCATGTGGAAATGACCAAAGACTAATATAATGCTAATGCTATTCACACGTGACTTTTGCATCATCTCGCATATATAAACTCACGTTTTCATTCCAATAAATGAAAAGAAGTTTTCACAGACCTAATGTGTGTCAGTGTGAGTTTCTTTATGTGCGCGCACATTCCAGAGCCAGCAAGATTAATTAGGACAGGAGCAGATAATCACCGGACACTTAGTCCTCACTAAATCACCAGTGTATGGGGGGCAGTGGTAGTCGAAGGCTCTCTTGGGTGAGTTGGGGGGCTGGGGTGTTGTTGGTCAATGTCAGCCTCTGTCCGTGGAGGAGGGGGGTGTTGGTCGGTGTCAGGGTATCCCTGTTGGGGGGGGTGATTTTTGTGTTGCCTAAGGCAGCACGAAACCTAAATACACCATTGAGAACTGCACAAGGTATCATGGGACATTTATTCAGTCTGCATATGGCCAGGTGATGATTTCATGATGTGTGTACAGTGCGTGCTTCCTGACCGGACCTTCGGGGATTTGTCTGGGAAAGATTTTGAAGTGGTAAAAAACAGGTTATGAAGCAAAATTACAGAATTTTCTTTTATAAAAATACAGCTAAAAAAGTGGAGCTAGATGAAAATCTCAATCAATAGCTGAAAGATTAATATTACTTGAATAACAAATAAATTCTTTAAAAATCATACAATGTGATTTCCTGAATTTTTTTTTTTAAATTCTGTCTCTCAGAGTGGGAATGCACCTACAATGTGAATTTCAGACCCCTCCATGATTTCTAAGTGGGAGAACTTGCAAAATCGCAGGGTGTTCAAATACTTCTGTTCCTCACTGTATATATATTTATTCAGACCTTTTACAAGAGTGGGATTACTGTATCTGCGTAATTCAATTTGGTTACATCTTAGTAGTGTCTTTTGACCCAGAGGGTGTTGAAGAATCAACAAATCTTCTTCTTTCCCTCTCCACCCGTGCTATTGATAATCGTAAATAGACATATATATAGTGTACAGTCTATTCTTACATTTACAGTTGCTGAATATTGAAGGTTGTTATCTTTATTGCATTGATAATCTCCATTAAAGCGTAGCTCCACACAAAAGGGGAAGTTCTGCTTTAAGCCTTTGTCCTCCGCATAAGGATTGGCACCTTTGGGGAGGGAGGGGGTACCCGAATTTGACGGGTACCCCATTCCCACCGTAGTCTTCTGGAACATGTGACAGGTCCCAGAAGACTACGGGGCCATTCACAAAGCGCAGCGCTTCTCGCGCATGCGCAGTGGGCACCCAGCTGTGAAGCCATAAGCTGTCACCCACACTGAAGATGCCGGCACCGGGGAGAGAAGACGGCCGGTGAAACCAATGGTGGTGAGGGCACTGCTGGACCGAGGGGCAGATAAGTGGCTGTATTTTAAAAGTCAGCAGCTACAGTTTCTGTAGCTGCTGACTTTTTTTTTTTCATCTGGAACTCCGCTTTAAAGTTCAATGATATTTTAAACTGTTGCCCAGCTTGACTTCTTACAATATATCCAACTTGATTATCACTAAACAGGTGTGTGTTTATTTCTGGATATAACTAAAACCAGGTGTGCCAGAGGGGCTGAGATTGTTCTTGGAGTTGAGGCGCAGAACAGAGAAACCAAAATCATGAAATTGTTCTGTCATCGCTACATATTTCCTTGTGTATAACTCGACATGCTGCTAAACCCTCCTATTCTGCAATAAGCAAGCCAATGTAAAATTGAAGCTTTATTAACAAAACAGGGTGGGTTAAATTATTAGAAAAAACAGATAAGAAGCACATATAATCAATATATGAAACATTCAAACACAATGAAATGATTGGCTGTAGATGGCAATAAGTCCATGTTGACCAGCGATGCTGCCTGTAAGGGATATAAGTTCAGTCCGTGATGTGTTGCTGTGGCTGGTTCCTTTCCCTAAATTCTTAAAATGGAGTCTGAGCTCCAAAGATGCAACTCTTTTCTTAGAATTAAATAATTATTTTATTAGTCCAAACAGTCTCTAGTTTCTGTAAAGCAGTAAATTGTTTTCTGGGCTCCATCTAGTGGCCAGATTTAATACTGCAAGCAGAAAAAACACTGAATTTCCCTGCTGGAGGCAGAACAGAATTAGTATACAATACACAGGCAACAAATTGTTTGTCAACTGTTACAATATGTGGGCAGCATATGAGTAATTATTACAACATGTATGGAGCAAATGGCCCACTGTGACAATAGGCTGGTGACAAATAGACAGTTTGTGCAATATAATTGTAGGAGGGGCCTGGGGCTGTGGTACCCAACCTGGGAGAGATCACACACAGTCTGGGATGTTGTATAAATCTTGCATCTTGTAATAAGGTTAACAGAGGTATTTTCAGATAGTATCTCTAGGCACTGTTATTCATGAAACAAGTTGTGGGATGTTAACCACTCCTCCAGAAGATTTACCCCCCTTCCTGACCAGGCCATTTTTTGCGGTATATTGCACTGCATTACTTTAACTGACAATTGCTCGGTCATGCCACACTGCACCCAAATGAAATTTATGTCCTTTTTTTCCCATCAATTTAGATTTCTTTCGGTGGTATTTGATCGCCTGTGCGGTTTTTATTTTTTGTGCTATAATCAAAAAAAGACGACAATTTTGAAAAAAAAAACCCCCCCAATATTTTTGACTTTTTGCTATAAAACATATCCAGTAAAAAAAATGAAAAAAAAAACAAATTTTGTCATAAATTTAGGCCAAAATGTATTCTGCTCCATGTCTTTGCTAAAAAAAATCCCAATACCTGTAAGTTAATTGGTTTACATGAAAGTTATAGCATTTACAAATGGCGGTATAGATACTGGAATTTTTATACTAGTAATGGCGGAGATGACACTGCAGGCATTCTGACAACTACCACTGACTACCTGCAACTGACATCTCCAGTAACACTAATACAGTGATCAGTGCTAAAAAAAGCACTGACACTGTACTAATGGCACTGGACAGGAAGGGGTTAACATCTGGGGCGATCAAAGGGTTAACTGTGTGCTGTGTGAGTGTTTTACTGTGTAAGCATGCTGCTTTGTATTGCTCTGCTATGCAGAGAAAAATAAAGCAGCGTGCTGGAGCTAACAGGGGAGAGATCTGTATTGTTTACGTACAGACCTCTCCTCTGTCAGTGTTCTTCGGTGATTTCCGGGTGCCGGCGGAGAATCTCCAGCTGGGACCCGGTGATTGACAGCCGTAGCCGCCATTAATGGTGCAGGTAGGGCGGTGCACGTGCACCCCCCTACCTGGAAGTGCAAAATCACGTATATATATACACGTGATTTTGCGCAGCCCTGCCGCTCTGTAGCAGTATTTGTGCTATAGGGCGGCAGAGAAGCAGTTTTAATGAAGTTGCAATATAACACTTAGCCTCCCTGGCGGTATTCCTGAGTGTAGCTCGGGATAAAGTTTCAGCACCTACAAGCGGTAACCCCGAGCTACACTCGGGAATACACTGCAGGGTTGCTCCGGGATCTCTTCTGACTTACCTTGTCCTGAGCTCCCGCGATGTCCCCCCTGCAGTGTCCCCGGCAATATCCTCGGCCGATGTCAGCATCTGTCATCTGGGTTCCGTTCCCTGCGACGTCGGGGCGTACAGGGGAAGGAACAGCGGGAAATTTAAAAATGTGAAAAAGTGACATTCACTAAATACACTAAAATCACATAGTAAAACATTCCTGTATCAAACCATTTCACATACATTTTGTCCCGAGTGCTTTGTCCTGTGCCCTGCCTGCATTTTTACCGTTCTTTCTGCCTGGAAACTGAGAAAAGTCCATGGCGTCCAAAAAGCGTCCCTTTAGGTCAAAAGCAGTTTTAGACCAGCTAGAGAACAGCGATAGTAAATCAGAACCACTTGCAGAATTGAGTGATAATGATTCGTGGGGAAATTCGCCATCAGACACCGAAAACGATTTTGCGACTTTGCTCAGTGATGTGCGAACTTGGCGCTCTATTTCAAATTTCAGTGTTTTTCGTTTGATTATATTATTGAATTAAATTTATTATTATTATATTATTATTTTTTATGATTATTTATTAAATTATAATTTATGATTTCGTGTTTCAAATTTTATCATACCCGGGATGTTTACTAGACTCTTGTTCAGACAGATTTCAGTGAGTTATTCTAAAAATTACAGGCCTACAATAAAAAAAATACATATTTTCATGCAAAAAAAGTACCACTTTGAGTGCAGAAATATGGACATAATCAGACTGCTAGGGAGTTAAAAGGTACAGAATTGCAGCAGTATACTTATTACTCAGCAATGGCACAGGATTGCAGTAGTGTATCTCTGGGCAATATCACAGTATGGCAGAGGTTCTTTCACTCAGTAATGGCACAGTATTGCAGAGTGGCTGTGTTCCAGGCTTTGCCTATTTTACAAGAGGATGACTTCTGCTGGAGGGGTCGCGACTGTGGTATGAGCAAGCAACACTCTATGAAGAGATCCCCCAATGGCTGGCCTAGCTACCAGAATACCTGTGGAAAACAAGAGGTGTCCCTGTAGTGACCCTACACACTCAGGAACCTCTCCCCGCACTGATTACACTTCCTGGCAAACAGGGTCTCTGTCCCTCACCTGTCCACATGATTCAGGCATGCTGGAATGACATGGGCACCCTATTATATAGAGTTCCATACAAAAATGGCTGCCAGAGGTCAACAGATGTTGCAGCGTCCAATCCAAAAGCTGCAAAAGCCGCAAAAAACTATGGAATCTCTTAAATAACAATTTTCCTCTAAGGATCCTACCCAATTGTTATACTGGCACAGCACCACCTCCTGAATGGAGGCCAAGTTGTACCTGCCTACATATGGGCAATAAATGGCTAATGTGGCAATATGCAGGAAGCAAGTGGCCAACTGTGGAAATATACTGGTGACCAATAGGCAATGGTTACAATATATGCCCAACAAATGCAAACGTAACCATATGCAGGCAGCAAATGGCCAATTATAATGATTTTCTGGCACAAACTTGTTACAATATGTGGGCAGCTAATGGCCAATTATGACAATTTGAGTGTAACAAATGGACAATTGTAAAAAATATATGGGCAACAGGTGATCATGACAATATGTGCGACAGATTCCTGAGAAGTAAATCAGCCACCAGAAAAAAAATCCTATTCCTTCCTCAAACCTGCACAAATTTTCCCCAAGCAAAGAATCATCCCTCACTCAACAAAGACCCCTCAACTCTATTCCTCCATTTAAAAATCCAAAGAACTTCGATCCTAAGGAGTGCTTCCCAGGCTTTCCCTTGGCTTTTTCTTGTGACTCATTAGAGCTGAGTGAATCTGGAAGAGAACTTCATATACCATATATACTTGTGTCTATGACTCCCAAAGTAATAAAGCCATTGGTTCTCCAAGACAGGTCAGGAGTGGTTCTCTTGTGCAGTCTTGGAGGACATCCCCTTTAAATGATAAACCTATTTCTCTGGGGAATTTTTGTGATTATGAAAATATCAGCCCTTTGTCTGTCCTAACAGTGAACATAGTATTTCCAAGGATTGTATACAATGGGTGTAGGCACATTGCCTGCAATCATGCAATAAAGGCTGTTTGTGTGTTTGAGGAGTAATTTAATTTACTGTTAAAATAAGCAGAAATTATGAGTGTCACGGTGTCTGAGGCATGCAGGACAAATGTATAAAGTTTGGAATTTATGCAATACCCTTTATTGGATAATTGGAGCTATAAACTCCATAATGTCAGCCGTACGCATATAGTCAGGCTCTTGGTGGGTGGGGCTTAACGACGAGAGGCCACATATATGCGTGCCAGAATGTAAACAGAACTGTGCCAGGAGCGCACACCCTGCACTCTCCCAGCACAGTTACCGGTGGGTAACGGAAAGCTCCCGATCTCTACTAGCGACCTTCCGATCATGTGACCGCTGTGACAGCCAACCACGGTGGTCACGTGATAAGAAGCCCCTGCTCCGCCTCCTGGCATCTGAAACCCCTTAAAGTGCTTGGGAAGGGCCAGTGCCAAGGGGTTAAAGAAAGTTTTGAGATCTTTTTGCTAAACCTGATGAGGGGGTCTGAATTATCCTGTTGGTTTGCATCTTTAGTAACTCAAGTTAGCCAATAAAAGGCCTCAATTAACAGGCAAACTCTTTATTGAGAGAAGAGCATAACGTACAAGACAGTACAGTGGGATACTTACAATTTCAGATATAAAAGCATTGACTATTTCAATAATAAAATGAAAAAAAAACATACTAGCTTGCAGGGGAGTACATCTCAAATACATGCAGCAAAAAGAATAAATAGAATATACATCATACATATCCTGAGTCCACAATTTGTATTACTGTACGTCTCTAAGTGCCAGATAAGTGTGCATGAAATGTCATTCCAGGCAATATACACTCAACGGCCACTTTATTAGGTCCACCTGTTCAATTGCTTGGTAAATTGCTAATCAGCCAATCACATGGCAGCAACCCGATGCATTTAGTCATCTAGATGTGGCAAAGATGACCCCATCTGCCCATTCTTCTCTGACCTCTTGTCAGGGAAGGCCTACCTGTAGTACAGGTGAAGCTCCACGGCGCACAAATGTGCACATGCGCAGGGTTCTGGCAAGCCGAGCAGATGTGTGCGAGCGCCTGGACAGAGGCAGTGCGCAGTTAAACGGGTGCATGCGCACTCGCACACGCGGGCGCACGCCTGTCATTAATGCTGTCCAGTCCACCTGGAATCACAACACAAAGCAAGGAGGGGCTTCTATGGAAAGGAGAACAGATATGGCTAAAGACTGTAAGACATATGTAAAAACATGCACCATCTGTAACCGAAACAAGTCCACTTGCAAATAAAGCCTGGGGGGTCTGCCGGTACCTGAAGACCACTGGAACTAGCGCAGCCATGTTCTGGTGGCCAGATATAGCTAAAGACTGTAAGACATATGATATGCACCATCTGTAACCGAAACAAGTCCACTTGAAATATAAGCCTGGAATTTCTTAGACCCCTGCGGTACCTGACAGACCATGGAAGATGATAGCAATGGACTTTATAGTGGAACTTCCACCTTCCGAAGGATATACCGCTATCTTCTTCGTGGTAGTCTTATCAAAGATGGTCCATTTTTTGCCTCTAAAGAGTACACCTTCTGCTTCTGAGACTGCTCGGGTCTTCATCAAGGAAATTGTCAGACTCCATGGAATTCCTATGAACACTTGTCTCAGATCGGGGGGTACAGTTCACGTCGAAATTCTGGAGGGCACTAGGCGAGACCCTGGAGATCGAGTTGTCTTTTTCCTTTGCCTACTACCCACAAACCAACGGACAGACCGAACGGACCAACCAGACTCTTGGAGCAGTATCCGGTGTTACACGTCCTTTGTCCAAGATGACTGGGTATCACTCTTGCCCCTGGCAGAATTTGCATATAACAACGCCAGCCATTTTGCCACCAAACAGTCGCCTTTTTTTTCTAACTAGGGGTTTCACCGTACCTTTTTATCTGACCTGGTGCCAGAGAATTCTGTCCCTGCTGCCCAAGATACATTAAATTTCTTTGTCACTAACAATAAATTGTTACAGGAGATGGTCACAAAAGCCCAGGAGGACAACAAGAGGGTCTTCGACAGAAGGAGAAGGGGAGAATTGATTCTGCACCCAGGAGACCAGGTTTGGCTTGCTACAACCAATCTAAAGATGGCATGCCCTTCGAGGAAGTTGGCACCAAAGTTTGTGGGACCGTTTCCAGTAAGATGCAAGATTAATGATGTCTCTTATGAGTTAGCACTTCCAGAATCCCTTAGAGTGCACCCAGTTTTGCATGTGTCACTATTAAAGCCTGCAGTACCTGATCCCTTTCCTAACCAAAGGTCAAGGCCCCCTGAGCCTATAAATATTGATGGGGAGGAGGAATTTGAGGTCGAGGCTGTTGTGGACCGTAGGAAAAGGAGGGGCCAGACACAGTACCTTATCAAGTGGAAGGGGTATGGTCCAGAGGAAAACTCATGGGAGCGGCACAGAACGTACATGCCACGGACTTAATTCGTGAATTTTTCCTTAGCCACCCACAAAAGAGGAGCCAATTGGGCATCCGGTGGCTGCCCATAAGGGGGGGGGGGGGCAATGTCAGGGAAGGCCTGCCCGTAGTACAGTGAAGCTCCACAGCGCACAAATGTGCGCATGCGCAGGGTTCTGGCAAGCCGAGCAGATGTGCGGGCGCCTGGACAGAGGCGCGCGCAGTTCCAATCGCACACAAGGGTGCGCGCCTTTCTTTAATCCTGGCGCCAAGAGGGCTATTTAAACTGGCTGCTGTGGTCGTCTCATTGCCGTATGGTCTTTTCCCCCTGCTTATGTTTCCTGACTTCTGTGATTGATTCCTGTTGCCAAAACCAGCCTGTTCCTGATCTCTGCTTGATTGCTTCCTGCCATGACTTCTGGCCTGTCCTCAGATTATTCTTCTGCCTGCTCCTGTCTGATTGACTCCCTGTTATGAACCTGGCCTGTGACCCGACTATTCTCCTGCCTGCCGTTAAAGCCTGATCTGTCTCATCAATACCGAACCCGGCTCGTCTGACTCTGCTTCTTCAGTACACGGTGCTCCAGCATCCATCCATCGTGCACGGATACATCTGCACCCTGCTCTGGTCTGCTACTCATCAGTCCAACAGCTGTTACCGGACAGATCCCAGGCCCTCATACTCCGCCGAGCTCCTGCGACCG